TCATCCTTATATTAACTAAGCCTTTCTTTTTCCGTGGTAGTTCAGGCGGAGATGGCTGTAAATGAAAGAGAGTTTGACGAAGTCATTCGCATAAATTTTATTTTGGCGCGACGGAGAACCCCACAGATATGGCCAGAAGCACCACCCCTGCGGCTCAAGCGGGATTGAGACAGTTGATTTTTGGCAAACCTGGTTGTATCTGGTTGTCGGATGCATGCTCTGTCTAGGTCCACCTTTGTTACGCCAGCCCGACTGACGTTAATCTCTTCTGCCAGTTTGACCGTTGAGATCGTGTAGATCTTTGCCTACTCCACCGTTCGAGTCTTCGGGGCTGGTTGTTTCCCGTCTGGTCCTCCTTCTTCGGCCTTAGCGACGTGGGTGTCTTTACAGGTTATGTAACTTCAGACGGCTTTGCTCTTAGGATTTCAAGGCAAGTAAGCACTCTATCATGAAAAGTAATGTAAAATACTTTGGACAAAGCCAATTCGTTAAATTAAACAAATAATATAGCCAAACCCCGGAAAAAAAAAAAAAAAAAAAAAACGAAAAACAAAAAAAACAAAAAAAAAACAAACAAAAACAACAAAACAAAAAAAAAAAACAAAAAAAACGACGAAATTAATTTGTGACCAAATTAAGTAAAAAATGAACAAATTAACTGTTGTAACCGCGAAAGGGTTACTAAATTAGAAATAACCAAAACGGAGATTGGAAATGAAATGGTAATCTTTATAACGTTAGCAAAATACAATACTCGCCAGCGCCGTAAAGTAGGTAAACCACTGCTAGTGGTGGATTACTTAGATAGCATATTACGATATTTGCCTGTCTCCCCACGAGGTAGGATGCAGCACAAGGCCAAATTTAATGTGGGGAAATCCGAGAAAAAATTACCCGTAAAGCTCGTATACGCGGCATCGGGTATCTGCCTACCACCCGGACGAGACTGCCTTTCGGCCTCATCCGGGTTCGTCTCTGTCCGAAAGCAGAGAGTTCGAAACGACAAGAGCTTCCCACGCTGACAGCTCATGCTACCAGCTTAGACAACATATTACCCCCACTTACAATAGTGTCCAACGTATTTATGACGATTGGAACATACCTATTAGTGTTCAGAGGTACGGTGTATTACATTAACAAACTTAACACACATGAAAACATGTAAATGTAATAATAAAAATCAACAATTAATAATAAGTAATCAATAATTAGGAAAATTTCAACAAGCAACGCTATTAGATAGCTGTAAATAATCGCATTCGGTGTACAACTGTCTCTACTCAATAACCTCTAGAATTATTTGAAATATAAACGTTACTGCCTGCCCAATAATCGTCACGATAATACAATAAACATTACGACTGTTAATGCACCGTTAGCCAGCATATATAATTAGTCGAGACAAAATACAATTCACACTGCTTGAATATTGTGCTGAGCATAAAAAACTGTCGCCGCTTGGCGTTGACCACAGTGTCTAAATTTATGTATACATACGCTCTATCTCTGATGTTGAACACTTTCACTTATAAATATATATATAAATTTTTACTATACAAGTGAAAGAAAACCAATAAGGAGGGAGTGTGAAGTGAAAAACAAAAACGACGAAAAGGACAAATAACTAGGACATTCTACACGCATGCACATACGCGTAGACGGACGCTTGGTCGCACGCGCGCGAATGCACTCACGCGAATGCACTCACGCATGCACATAGACACTATGAAAAAAAAAAAAACAAAAACAAAAATCAAAAATCCCTTCAATGAAAAGTGCATATGAAAAAGAAAACTCGAGACGTATAAATAGTCAGTTGCTGATAAGTCCTGACGAGTGGACGGAGTGATTCTCAGGGTTCCGTCTACGAACCTCTGAGTCGGGAAGCTGAAGGTAGCATCCATCAGCTAAGTGGCAAAACTTTTACTTGTATTAATTCTCTCTGTTTTCCTCGCTCTCTCGCTATATATATATATATATATATATATATATATATATATACACACACACACACACACATATATATATATATATATATATATATATATATATATGTAAGTATTCAGTATCTATAGCATTTATTCATTGCCATTTTCAATCTACAAATCATATTCCGCAAACCTGAATCCCGCTGATGAAAAAAATATCCGAAATCAGCGTTATGTCTAAGCTTTTCGGCTCACGTGAATAATCATCTGGGTTGTGAAAAGTAAATTGAAAGAAAGAAAATCAAAAAGTGCTTTACGTTGTTCATTTGCTATTTCGGATATTTTTTGCATCTACATGAGATCGGTTTGCGGAAGTTGATTCACAGTTTTGAAAAGACGTTGGATGAATATAATAGAATATCTATTCCTTTTCATAAAATTTGTTTAAAGCATCTGATGCATAATTATATATATATATATATATATATATATATATATATATATATATAGTTATGCTTAAAAGCAAAAGGAATATGATGTTATCTCTAATGGACGTTATCAAGGGATATGTAATGATTTTATTTTGCCATAAGTATTTGTAAACAAAGGAAAAATAGTTATTTTTTTATATTTGAAAATTTATGAAACACTGATAAATTTTTATCAGGCTAACTGAAAAATCTAAGTATATTTTGGCGGATGATAAGTGACGTAATTGAATTTCTAATAAAAAAGTGAGTAAATGCTGTTACATTTGTTGCATAACGCAATTAATAATTTTAGTAATTTACTTTGGAATTAATTTATGTATTATATTTTTTAAAGGAGAAGAGGCTATGAAATGTAACCGTTTTCTTTTGATGTTTCAACGAGTTTATAGTTATGTATTAACCAATGAGTTTGCGTGGAAAAGAGTTGAAAGTTTTGTAGACCACAAGAAACCTTCTCTCGCCACTCCCAAAGTGAAAAAAAGTGGCGGGGTTTGGACACATTACAGGGCACGACAGCCTGTGCAAACCATGATGCAAGGCACCGTTACAGGTGGACGTAAAAACTGGTTGGACAATATTAACCAATTGACAGGTATGACTATATAAGAATTGCTGATGGCTGCCATTGAAAAAACGTTGTTGAGGTGGTTCAATATGGTTTCCTCATTCTGATCCCCACCCTCACACACTACGATTTCAAAAGTCAAGGGGATGACTATGATGGTGATAATGATGATGACGAGGAGGAGGAGCATGATGAGTTATGTATGTTGGCTTATTGTCCTTTTACGGGTATGTTTTTAGTTATAGCTTAAATTTTGCAGGCACAGGCGTATAATGAAATAAATAACTAGATAACTTGAATTTAGAGTAATTAAGGTAAAATACTTGACTATTGCAAAGATAGCCCATCACTTGATTTCAATATTCTGCTAATGGCAAAATTCAGTCAACAAAGACCGAACAATGATGAAAGAAGTGGGATAATCACGTAACAAAAAAATCTAGGTATTATTTTTACGATAGGTATGATTTATTTTACAGTGATATTCACCCTATACAAGGCCCGGAATCTAATCTTCATAGATGGTTACAGAATAAGAAGCACACATTATGCGGATAGGAGATAACGGTTAACCCTAGACTTGAACAGGTTATGATTGTAGTGAACTGGGAAACATCCTCTTGGGAATCGGTTCTACAGAACAGTAGTTAGCAAGAAGATGCTTGTGTAAGACTTTCTTCTCACCAATGGAATACGGATGGAATAACGGTGGTTTGCTACAATGTGAGTGGCGTGACGTGTCTTAGTCGTTAAGGTTCAAACTGGTCGAACCAAGGAATGTAGTTCTTTCCGAGCAGTTTCCATAGAAGTAGCGATAGACCTGTGAGAGGTTTGCCACTTCCCGTCTGTGAGAGAGGTATAGCAGGCTTGAAAATGATTTGTCACCCACAAGGGCGTGGAGACGTTTTTGGAATCTATCAAAACTAGAAAGTGAGGTGTGGGAAGCTCATGCCCAAATATGACAAGGGCCTTTGGTAGTCAAAAGGTAATTTTAGGCCTGATCTATCTCTTGTAAAAATAAAGAATAGCAAGTGTAGTCAGGTACAGTGAACCGACCAGTTTTTCTACATCTTTAGCGATGAATCATATATAAGCGTTCGAATTTGAGTTCTGGGGTAAGTTTAAAGCCTAACATACGCTCAAGTTGCGGGGCCTGCCCGAGAGGACATCCATTCATTGTGAGCGGTGGTAGTCCGGTGTTCGATTGGCGATGACGGAATGTCACAACTTTCGTTTTCGAGGCATTAAATTTAAACAGCCAGCTTTTCTTCCCACGAGAATTTAGAGTTACATTGAATGAGAGACCCTCTGCTAAATTCTGGTCATCACGAGTTCTGGAGGTGCACCTATATGTCGTTGTATCATCGGTATAGATAAACTCAAATTATCTTAGTATACTGCCTGGGGGAAACCTGCGTTGATTGCAAGGGCCCGGACGACTGGCTGTTAACAACTACCTTCAGCAAACTACTAAGTCTTCATTATTAAACAGACTCTTCCAGACGATTACGGTTGGTAAACTGAAAGGTACATTTATTTAAACATTTAATGCAAATTAAAATAAACAATAAAAATAAGAGATTTTTTTTAAAGAAATATTTTACGTGTAAAGTTATTTTCGACGTAGCCACTTGATCAGAGTGAGAAAATATTTCCTTGATTTTTGGACTGGCGTCTGTAAATGGCTAGTGGGTGTGGAATAGTTGAACTTTCATATCCTACCCTTCCGCTTTCTGTTCCCTTCTTTCTATCTCTCTTGATCACTCGCCCTCCACCCCATAAGAACAAGAAACAATTTTACATCGCAAAGATTAATCCAGTCCCCAAGAAAAAGGTCAGCTCTTGCTTAGTAAGCTCGTTACAACAACTAATAGACGAACAGAAGTATACTACATAGGATAATGTTACTCCTCGTATAGAATAGTTCTTTATGACACATTGTGCAATTTGCAATAGATCGCTGGTATTGCTTTCTTTCACAGTATGTTGTACTTGTGATGTTTTCACGGAGAGTAGTCACTGTAGTCTGGGAAGCGTAAAGATCAGTCGCTGGTGTCTAGGAAGAACGGTGAGTAGTAACTTGTTGTCTGGGAAGTGCGAAGAGCAGTCACTGGTGTCTGGAAAACTGAAGGAATAATTATTGTGGTCTGGGAAACACGGGGAATAATCGCTGTGTTCTGGGAAGCACAAGGAGCAGTCGCTGTGCTGCAAGCATGAGGAATAGTCGCTGTGGTCTGGGTAGCACGGGAAATAGTCGCCGTGGTCTGGGAAGAACAAGGATTGGTAAGTGTTGTTTGGGAAGAACGATGAGTAGTCGCTGTTGTCTGGGAAGTATGAGGAGCAGATGCTGTAGTCTGGGAAGCGTAGGGAGCAGTTGCTATAATCTGGAAAGCAGGAGTAGTAATCGCTCTGTTCTGGGAAGTAAGTGAATTAGACGCAGTCGTCACGGATGCACGGGGAATAGTGACTGGTTTCGAAAGCACGGGGAATAGTCACTGTAGTCTGGCAAGCCCGAAGAATTTTCTCAGTAGCCTGGGAAACACGTGGAATAGTCAGTAAAGTCTGGGAAGCATGAAATATAGTTGCTCTGGTTTGGGAAGGACATGGAATTTGTCGCTGTGATCTGGGAAATACGGGATGTAGTCGCTGTGCTCTGGGAAGCATGAAGAGTAGTTGCTGTAAACTGGAAGCATGGAGAGTTGTCACGTGGGATTGTGAACCACGAGAAATATTTGCTGTAGCCAGGGTAGCAGGGGAATAGTTGGTGTGATCTGGGAAGCACGGAGAATAATCATTGTGGTCTGGGAAGCATGGAGAGTAGTCACTGTGGTCCGGAAAGCAATATGTGTAGTCGCTCTATTCTGAGAATCTTGTGGAGCGTTCGCTGTGGTCTGAGAAAAACGATGAGTAGTCACTGTAGTCTGGGAAGCAAGGAGAGTAGTCCCTAGTGTCTGGGAAGCTCGGGAATAATCATTCTGGTCTGGAAAGCAAGGGGAGTCATCATTCTGGCCTGGGAAGTACGGGAAATAGTTGGTGTGGTCTGGGAAGCACGAGGAATAATCTGTTTAGTCTGGGTAACAAGGGGAGTAGTTACTGTGGCCCTGGAAGCAAGGTGAGTAGTCGCCGTGGACTAGGAAACTCGACAAGCGGTCGCTATGGGCTCTGAAGAATGGGCAGTAGACGCTGTAAACTGGGAAGCACGGGAAATAGTCGCTCGGGTCTTTTAAGGAAGGGAAGTCGTCACTGTGGCCTGGGAAACAAGCAGAGTAGTTGCTGTGGTCAGAGAAGCACGGCGTGTATTCACCATGATTTGGGAAGTTCGAAGAACAGTATCTGCTGTCTGGGAAGCACTAATACTCGCTGTGGTTTGGGAAGTACCGGGTGTACTCACCGTGGTCTGGGAAGCACTAGGAATAGTCGCTGTGCTCTTGGAAGCACGGTGAGTAGTTACTCTTTTCTGAGAAGCATGGACAGTAGACGCTGTGGTCTGGAAAACACGGGGAGTAGTATCTGTGTTCTGGAAATTATGGGGAAGTATTGTGGTCTGGTAAGCTCAGTTCGGGTAACACACAGTTAGTACGAATAATAGTCTGTCTTCTTGATACTTGACAGATATGGTTCGTAACAGAAATTAGAATTTGATAATCACAAATTAACGTATTTAAAATGGAAGTTCGGATATCTCTACATCGAGGAAGGATAAAGTTAATTTTATTCACCTCCCGCCGGTCTGCAAAGTGAACATGAAACCACAGTCCATATCACTAACATGCTCACTGTCCAGCGTATCAGGGTAAAACTTAGATTAGCCTTCGATCAGTTGCTGCCGGTTCGAGCGGACTTATCATTTAAAAGAAAGTAAAGAAAAAAAAGGCATGTATTCAAGTAAGACCACCTTTTAGTGTCGGCGCATGTAATTAGTAATTAATAGTGCTGTTCGTTATTGTTTTTTCGTCGTCATCCACTTTTCGGGTTCCTTTATTTCCTGAGGTATGTTTCGTGATAACAGATACTTTGCTACTGTCTTTGTTACGCTACGACAGAATTAATTACTGGCTCTGAGTTAGCGGAGGAAAGAAACGTAAAAATGTTTTCTTGCGTGACCATTTCTAAATTTTTTTGCAATTTTTATCTAAATCTTTGACACTTTTGTGTTCGCTACAAGACTTTGGTTACAGAAACTAACGACAAGAGAATTAAGCAGGCAATGTGCTAGAGAGTGATAATTTTCAAATCTGAACGAAAATGATTAATTAAATTTACAAAAAAGAGGAAAAAAAAATCCTATTTATTATTGATATTTGTGTGCAAAAGATTTCAGCTAAAAATTGATATTATATACCTGTTGATAAGATAGACTCCTTCGAAGTTATTCAACAAGTTACTATCAGGCGAATGGCCCCAAAACCTAGTAAACGTCTATCTCCAGCGCCCTTAATGAAGGAAAAAAACAATTAAAGTGATGTAATGGAATAACCTGTCACAAACATGTGTCACTACACTATAGGTAGTAACTTCTTATAAGCATCTGTAAGTCAACGGACTACAGAGAATACAGAGAAATCTTTTCAGCTGTGCTGGTCGAACTCTCTGCCTCCGAGCAGAGATGAACCCTGACGAGGCTCTGTTGAAGGGCAAAGTTTCGTTCGGGGAGGTTGACCAATCCGATCCCGTTTATGCGGGTTCTACGGGGATTATTTCTCCGAGACTATGGGCTCTGGTAACCCACTTTAAACTCGGCCTTGTGCCACATATACTCTCGGGGTGGGGGCTAGTTAATAGCGAATAGCTGAAATCTTTTCAGCTATGCTGGTCGAACTCTCTGCCTCTGAACAGAGAGGAGCCCGGACGAGGCTATGCTGAAGGACAGAGTCTCGTTCGGGGAGATAGACCGACCCGATCCCGTTTTTGCGGTGTCTGCGGGGACACTACATTAAATTCGGCCTTGTGCTACACGACCCTGTTCCATACGGGTCAACGGGAAATTTTTGGCTGAGCCTACGGGCTCGGATGCCCAACATTAAATTCAGCCCTGGGGTACATCTGATCGCTTGAGGGGATTAATAAATATAATAGCTGGAATCTATTCCTCCTGTGCTGGTCAATCCTTCTGTCTGCAAAAAGAGAGGATCCCCAGACGAGGCTATGTTGAAGGTCAGAATCTTGTCTCGGGAAACGGCTACCCGACCCCGTTTTATACGGGATCTACAAGGAATTTTGGGGCGAGCCTACGGGCTCGGTTTGCTCCACATTTAATTCAGCCTTGTGTCATATCCTACCCCGTGAGGAGGTTTGTAAATACCGAATAACTGGAATCTTTTTTAGCTGTGCTGGTCGAACTCTCCTGTATCCGGACATAGAGGATCTCCAGACCAGGCTGAGTCGAAGGGCAGATTCTCATCTCGGAAAACATCTACCCCACCCCATTTTATATGGGGGTCTACGTGGAATATGATAATTACATCATCACAGACATTATGATAATCATATCATATAGACAGAAGAAAGAAAATATACCACTAACTCGTAGATTCGATGATTCCCTTTTATATTGTTCATGTTGCAACCGATGCGTTCGGTTTTATATGCTTTAGTTGTCCCATATTTATCAGGTCATCCCATAAGTTCTGTCCGAATTTTGAATGAAGAAAACAAGTGACCAAATGTTACATTTAATTACAGATTCAATGAACAATGTATTTTCCCTGATTATCTATGTCTTCCTTCCATTTATTAACAAGCTTACTAATTCCATTACTGTAAAAATCTTTTGGCTTTGATTCGAAGAACTCACAAATGTCAGTTTTAACCTCTTTCTGTTACAAAAGTAGTTTCTTCCAAATGATTCTGTAAGCTACGAAACAAATGGTAGTCTGAAGGAGCAAGATCGAGAGAATAAGGTGGATGAGGAATTTTCTCCCAACCAAGTTCTTCGATCTTTTGTGACGTGATTCTTACTGTGTGGGGTCGCTCATTGTCCTGATGAAACATCACCTCTTTTCGTTTCACTAGACCAGGTCTTTTTCCTCAAAGCTTGGCTCAAACGCTCTAATTGCTGACAGTATATTTGAGCATTAATTGTTGCATTAGGTGGTAAGAATTCAAAGTGGATTATTCCTTGGCGATCCCACCAGATTGAAAGAAGAATATTTTGCCCATGAAGTTCCCTTTTCGGCTGTGGCTGGGGTCCTTCCCCTTTAACAAGCCACTGTCTACGACGCTTAACATTTCGAGAAAAGATCCATTTTTTGTTGCCAGTTACAAGTCTATCCAAAAAAGTTGAAACAAGTTGACGAGAAAGGAGAGAAGAGCAAATGTCAACTCAGGATTTGAGGTTGTTTTCAGACTATTCATGAAGCACCCATTTTCCAAGTTTAGGAACTTTTCCAAGTTGTTGAAGATGACGATGAACAGTTGTATGGTTTGAACTAAGAACCAGTGCCAATTCCTCAACTGATAAAGCTGGATTTTCTTGAAGGTCTGCTTCAAGAAGCTTTTCATCAAACTCAACTGGACGTCCGGTTCGATCTTCAAGGGTGAAATCTCCACCTCTGAATTTTGCAAACAATCTTCTGCAAGTTCTTTCATTCACACATTCCACTCCATAAATTGAGTGAATGTTTCTAGCCGCTTCGGTTGCTGAGTTTCCTTTCTTGAACTCATTATGTGCCTCAAATGATTTTTGGGTACTTCCATGTTAGCAGGGTTTAATCAAACAAAATTTAATTTTATTGTTCTCTGAAATAAAAATTGAACAGTTTAAATGCATCTAGACATAAAAATAATGTTCAGCCCCATTAGACATTATAAAATACTCTTTAAATTTCGTTCATTTTAACAAAAAATTAAAATTCGGGCAGAACTTATGGTATGACCTTATATAATGAGACTTTATGAGGTACTCCACATCGAACAAGCAAGGTTATTTGGGCGGGGTTAAACATAGGTAAGTTACAACCAAAAAACGATGTTATACTGAGTATTCGGTCTACATTTTCCAGATAAAGAACGTGGAAGACATTCTCACATATCTAATTTTAATATTCGTGTAGAGGTGTATTTATTTCTATTCTCCGAAAAAACTGATAACGGATACAAAGGAGATCAGATATGCTTATTCGACAATTAGTCAGTAACATTTAGAATAGAGCTTACAACTCGATGTCTGTTTGCTGGAATAAACAAATATGTATTCAGCGAATTTGCGCAAAATAAACATGTCAATATTATATTGAACGAGATACAATTCGGAACCTGAAATCTCATGCGCAAAACAAAGCAGTCATCATTGACACGCTTCGGTGTATCGATTGCAAACATTTGAAATTATATCGCCACAAATGGCTATGAAAAATAACCAAAGCTGATCGAATGGGGATAATCAACTCCTTCTATCGAAGGCCGCATTAATTATCTTAAACCGCCATAGAAATGTGTTTCATTCGTTTCCTTGTCAAGAAAATGGGTTTTTGTTTTATAATAAAAAGAGTAGCTATGCAATGAAAAAAAAAAAAACTGGATAGATGAAGAAGTTGAAAATTTAATGAAAAACACGTTAGCGCCCCTTTATAATGACGAAAAACTTTTAGTGGAACAGATTTGATACGATATAACATAGTTTTATTTAAAGTGGCAATACCATAAACGTATTCAACAAGGCAGAACCGCTTAAAATAAATCATTGAAAAGAATGCTGGAAGAAAACCGCCTCATATAACTGCGTAACACAAAATATATCGTTACATAGCTGAGATGTTGTGAGTTTCCCGCGTGTCGGTGTATGAATCAAGACAAACACAGTTGTAGAGGAAAATACTGGTATATTCATAAAAAGCAATTAACAATAGAGTGATTAGTAGAACGAAGTTTGGTTAGTACGAAACAATATCCAAAGTCTATAGTCCAACGGTATGTACCGGGTAAGCTTATCTGGACTGCTAACGCTGACTCTCTCTCTGACGCTCTGTCACTCTCTCTCCAGAGCTGACTTATATAAGAGGGACCAGTCCATTACTAGTTAGAAGGTGGGTGCGCCCCAACAATAGCTCAAACAAATGAAGATAAAAAAAAGTAATTACCGGCTACCAGTTCACAAAATCACTTTCAAATTAATTTTTTAAGCAATGGGAACATGTATGTAAAAGTTAAAAAAAATTAACTGACGATGGGGTTTAGATGAAAACAGTTTTGAATCGCCGTTGTCGATGTTCCCAGCGCAACTTTGTTTCTGAGCGGTGCGTCGACCATTTGCATTTGAGTTCAGCTGAGGTTTCATCTGATTCCCAAAGCGGAGCAGCACAGATAATCAATTAGAGGATTTATCGTGGGAATTATTTTAATTGCTTGACGAATTGGAGGACAGGTGGTTGCAGACAATTATTTTTGCCTTTCTTTATCTTCAAGATTTATTGGAGACAAGATAGGTCTCCCTTTTCCCTCAGGGGAACTTTTCAACGCACAGCGGACCACGTGTCGTACGAACACGGTACAAAGTACACATTCCATAAATCAGTAAATTTAACAGCTCAAGTTTTCAATAAGACATTACACACGGTGCATTGTTTCTGATCAAAAGGTATTAGGACTGGTGCTATAAAAGAGAACTACAACACATATCAATTCGGCATTAAATCTCCTTCAAAGTAGTCCCCTTCTGAAGTCACACACGTTATCCAGCGTCATTTTCATTGATGAATGTGATCCTGGAATTTCTTTTTTTGGGATAGCAAGCAGCTGCCTCGTCGCATTATCTTGGATAACCTCGACATCTTGAAAACATGTTTCTTTCAAGTGGGATTTTTGAAGAGAAAAAACTCGCTTTGGTTGAGATCTGGGAAATATGGTGGTTTTAAGACATGGGGGATTTTGAACAAAAACAGCTGTACAATACATGGTCACTAATGGAAACTGTTTTGGGTGGTGGGACGATCACACTCTACACACTTTCCTACCACGCAGTGGTAAATCCTAAGGAAGATAGTGAAAAGTTATAATTCAGTATGTCTACGCGACAGGTTTCAAGTTCGGTCTGTGCCAAGCGGCTTCACTGTGACTAATTTAGTTCCTTTACTAGAGCAACAGTCCCCAATACATTTTGTTCAGGCGTCGTACGTACGGATAAGAACATGTTTAGATACAAATTTTTATTTATTTTTATTTACTTTTTGCAAAATCAATAAAATGTTGCTGTTTTTCTCCCCCTTTCTTCTCTGTCTTTCCTCATAAAAACTGCAGTATCTTCCACGAAATATTTCCCCAATAACTGTCCATTCTGAAATTCACCACAGAAAAATCCCCGAAGAAATGAGAAAAGAAACATGAACAAAATATCGCGCATATCCGAAAGCTTACTTTCTCATAGAATAGTTCTAAATTTAAAAAAAAAACAAAAAAACAAATACAAAAACAAAAAACATTTAATTTAAGAAACACGGAGTAAATATTTTATTGGCCGCGAGGAATTACTTGGATTGAATAAAAATAATTCAATAATTTTTAAATTTATTATTTTTAACACTTATTCTGTTATGGATGTACCTTACGAAACCTCTATTTTCTGATATTGACGTTTATATATATATATATATATATATATATATATACATTATTTACATTATTCGGACAATTGTCGCCATATTTGTCAAACGTTTCTCCGTTGTAAATTTATATTCTTCAGGTGGTTGGAAGTTTGAACTGAACCCTTTATTTCGCTCACTGGGGTAGACTGTTCTAGTTCCATGTTTTTTAATGGATGCCAGTTATCAGTTATCTCCTGTTAATTTCTCTCTGAAAGTTCTCCACTGCCTTAACCGGGTATTGAACTTTGGGTTCTCTCACTGGATTTAACCAACGCCTTTATCCACTGTGCCATGTGTCCTTGAGGATATCTGGGTATGAATTTCTTGGTATTATAAACCTAATGTCTTCAGCAACCATTTTTACCAGTGCTCATATTGTAATTTTGCTGCTATCATTGCTTTTCTCTGGCACTCCTTGTCACTGGTTCCCGTATTGCATTTATTTGTATGCTTGGTCGGCTCAGGAGATTTTTGTGGCCTAGTATATGTACTGATTCCTTAAGTTTACAAATTTTCCAATGGTGTTCCTTGTCTACCCCAGTGAGCGAAATAAAGAGTTCAGTTCAAACTTCCAACCACCTGAAGAAGCCCGGAGCGTACAACAGCCGAAACGTTGTGATAAATATAGCGACAAAGATGAGGACAATAGTCCGAATAATTAAATAATGTACATAATACCTCATCTCAGAAATATATATATATATATATATATATATATATATATATATATATATATATATGTATATTCATGTGACGCGTTCTCTTCTTTAGGTTTTCATCGGACTTTTTCAGATTCATTCATTTTGAATGATTGACTAAAATAGGGGATGAGCCAGAAGTTTTCACGTATTTTACAATAAAATGTAACAGTTTAAAGGCTCTTAAACATGTGCTATTGTTTAGTCTAGTGGTTACCAAAAGCACGCCTCGAAGTTGCGGCAGAAGAGAATAGCTGGTGAGGCGAAATCATTGAATGACAAT